AGTCCACCAGCAAGACAACTGGACAGTCCCTCTTAGAAGGGCCTCACGGAACAGGATAAATCCAGGGTGCAGCGTGGCACTGATGAACCACAAAACTCTCCTCTAGTTCTTTAAGATTTCCTTCCCTTACTGTGATGGCCCATACATGGTATACCTTGTTAATCATGTTAGATTTGCAAATGTTCATTCAAGATCACTTGGTATATGGTAGTCAAGAGAGATGACCCCTCAGAGACAGTGACAGGAGTAAAGATTCCCCGAGGGTACAGGAAGTTGTGTGTGTGTGTGGGGGGGGGGGCATGAAGAGGAGAGGAGTGCAAGACAATCATGGCACCCAATTCGGCTGAGAACTGCCACCCATTTGTTTCGTCTAGCCACAAGCCACTGTCTACCCAAGGAGGCCCGCACCATCCCAGCCCCTCTTACTATCAGAGTGCCTCACTCTGCTGCACAGCGTGTGAACCAGCCTCCTCCCGGTCGCCCGAGCCAGAGTGGTCCTCGCTACATGCTGAGGGGACGTGGCACCCCCGGGGGTCCTCTTCCCTGTCTAACTGTGGGCACATCAGGCTCTCTAACCCCTGGGATGGCGATGCACAGGACAGTTGAGAGCCCAGGCCCCCAAGTCAGAGAGGCTGGTTAGACTCCTGGCTCTGCTGTACCCCAGCTCTGTAACTTGGCCAAAGCACGTGGTAGAACCTCAGTGATCGCAGCTGTAAAATGGATCCAGCGGAGCTGGGAAAGCATCGTGGGATTACTGTGAGGCTTGAAGGAGAGGCGGCAGGACGGTTCGACCTTCAGCCCTGACCTGTAGAAAGAGCGTGGGAAACAGATTGCTGTCACTGCTTCGGCACTGCGGCGATGCTTGCGTTCCTCCAAATGCCCACGCTCCTCCTTTATCCGGCAGTATCAACTCACAGAGGGCGGTTTGGGAACTGGAGGGGTTTGGGCCCGTTGTCTGCCTGATAGACGGTGGCAGAGGCTTTCGGCCTCCGTCTGAGGACGAGACACAGTGGGAACTGGAGGCAGTGCCTCGAAGGCACATTCTCCAGGCTGCTTCGCCCACGCTCAAACTCCAAAGGCCTCAGCGCCTGTTCCCCTCCCTGCTCCGCCTTCCAAACACAAAGCCGTCTGCCACCTAACCCGATCCTAATGAGATTGTCTTGCACATAATTGCTAGCTTAATGGGTTAATTATCATTGGCACAAAAGATTGTTTTGGGGCTGCCCAGGGCAAGATAACTAGAGGGACAAAGGGCAAATGAAACCCAACCCCCAACCTAACGGAAGGCGATCAGATGAGCAGGCATGTGAACAGCGAACACGGGCCGAGGGGAGCCGAGATCCCGTCCCGGGTCTTGGTCCCAATTGGACCTTCGGGTACCTGTTCATGCGTTTCTCTGCCTCAGCCTGTACTCTCTTGCTCTTTTCTGGGACAGCCTCCCTTTGACGGCGAGGATGAGGATGAGCTCTTTCAGTCTATAATGGAGCACAACGTTTCCTACCCCAAGTCCCTGTCCAAGGAGGCGGTCTCCATCTGCAAAGGAGTAAGTCGACTTGGGGGTGGGGTGGGGTGGGGTGGAAGGTGGATAGATGGGGAAAGCACATTGCTCATACCTGAAAAGAAGGTGGCAAAAGTGCCACCCACCCTCCCCGCGCAGGACTCTTCCACCCCTTGAGGGTTGGAGTGTGGTGGTGATGGGCAGGCCATGGTAGGAGAAGGAGGGTTCTAAGCACCACACTCACTGCCATTGAGTCAGTTCCAACTCACAGCGACCCTGCAGGACAGGGTAGAACTGCCCCGTGGGATCCTGAGACACTTAACTCTGAGAGTAGAAAGGCCTGTATCTCTCCCTTGGAAAGGCGGTGGTTTTGAACTGCTGATCTCAGGATCAGCAGCCTGGTGTGTCACCACTGCGCCACCAGGGCTCCTCTGGCGCTTGCTGTAGTCCTGGAGAGACCAACCCCACGGAACTGAGTCTGTTCTGAGTCACGGCGACCCCGTGTGAGCCCCAGTAAAACTGTGCTCCCCGGCGGGGGGCGGGGGGGTTCATGGCAGACTTTGTGGAAGCAGGCTGCCAGGCCTTTCTTCTGAGCTGCCTCTGGGTGGACTCAAACCTCCAACCTTTGTAGTTCATAGCCAAGTGCGTAACCCTTTATGCCACCGGGGACAGCAGTCCCACAAGCGCCGTCGAGTTGATGTCGGTGATAGCAGCCCCCTGGGACCCAGACGAGCTGCCCCCTGGGTTTTCCAGCTGTGCTCTTGAAGGGAGCAGGGCCACAGGCCTTTCTTCTGCTGAGCTGCCGGGTGGGTGTGAATTACCAGCCTTCCTTCCGGTGAGCGGCCAGGAGCTTAACCATCTGCAACCCTCATTGGACAGTAACTCACTGCCACCGGGTCAACGCCGACTCACAGGGACCTACAGGACAGGGTAGAACTGGCCCCTATACATTTCTGAGACTGTGACTGAAAAGCCTCCTCCTGGGCACGGCGGGTGGGTTTGATCTGCAGACCTTATGGTCAGCAGCCTAAGGCACAACCCACCACGCCTCCAGGGCCCCCTTGAAAATCAAGAGCCCCCATTCTGGCCACAGCATTCTGTTTTCTAACCCCTGAGCCTTTGATGGATAATGTTTTGGCCCAGACAGTAGAACACAAGGAGCTATGAACATCTCTCTGGCTAGTGGCACTCTCAGAACATCCAGCTCCGAGTGCTTGCTGCGTCCCAGACACCGCAGCTCTGAGACGGCGAGCAGGAAAGACGCCTGTGGCATATATACACCTCTGTGCTTGCCCACAGGTGCAGGTTGTCTCTGTTTATCATGACATTTCCCGTGGAAAGGTAAGTTCTTGTCAGCGTCACAAGCTGTGACTTGGCTTTGACTCCACCAGCCATTGAAATGTCTTCCCCGGAGCGGGCACCATCAGGCAGAGGCCAAAGCCAAGCCGGCACAGGCTCCCAACAGAAGCCGAGCAGGCAAAGGAAACGCATAGCCAAGGAGCAGGCTGTGCCAGATAAGCGAAGGCATGGCCACGTAGCAGGGTCCGAGCCGGCTTCAGCAACAGCTGTCTAGAAAGCCGTGACCACTGGCGATCTCATTTCTCCCCTTCCTCTCTAGCTGATGACCAAACACCCCGCCAAGCGGCTGGGCTGTGGGCTGGAGGGCGAGAGGGACGTGAGAGAGCACGCTTTCTTCCGGAGGATTGACTGGGAGAAACTGGAGAACCGGGAGATCCAGCCGCCATTCAAACCCAAAGTGGTGAGTCGGAGGAGGTGCCCGCTGCTCCTAGCTGGGGCACCCCACCCACCTGCTTAGCCTACAGCAAAGGGACTGGTGACGGCTGCCTGAAGACCCCAGCCTTGCCCTCCTTCCTCTGGTCTTCCTCCTGGGCGCGGGAGCCAGGAGGGGAGCCTGGCCAGGCAGCCGCAGGACACCCCAGGAGATCAGGGGACCAGGACCGGCTTGCTTTCGGGTTGGACTTTGTGCTCAGTGGCCTTGGGGGGGACCTGAGATCCGTGTCTGTCTCCAGCTTTCCCAAATCCCCCACGTGCTGATGGCAGTAGCCTGTCGACCTTTCCCCTTATGGGAAGGCACTCATGTGCCATGGCGGCCACTTCCACCACAGCCCCTTTGATTCTGGCTCCCCACGCAAGACCTGGACCTCTGGCAAACATTGTGCCAGGCGTTGCTGGTAGTGTTTTACAAGCCCTGCCTGGCGGTGCAAGGTAGGTCGCAGTGTGCAGTTGAGAAAACCGAGGCACAGAGAGGCTGAGTGACTTGCCCATGGAGCTAGGTCTCGAACCCCAGCCTCGGAGCTCTAGAGTCTGTGCCCCATCTCGGTAGCAGTTCAGAGACTATCTCCCAGGGGTTGTGTCTCTCCAGGTAAACCGAGTCTCTTGAGAGGGGGCATCCTCCCCCACAACCTCCCAGGTGGCTGTGCACTGAGGAGTGGCTTTTCCTGTCTCCCCTAAGGCGAGAGCAGTGCTGCCCTTTTCTATGCCCCCACCTTCTCCACTTCGCCTGGCTGCCCCCCAGGGTACAAAGAGAGCTGCTCTTGCCCCCGGTCAGGCCCAGATCTGACGAGGACAAGTGCGGGTGGCAGGGCTGACCACTGGGCGGCGCGTGGCTTGTGTCAGGAGAGCAGTTTCCCCATCCGACTGCTCATGTGCTTCCAGCTCTGAGAATGGAGCCGTGGTCAGTGGGCCCTCTGGGATGGCTCTTTCCAAGGTATTTTTAGCACCAAGTGAAGGAAACCTAAAATTAACCAGTTCAGCTGGCTTCCTCCTGAGTCATCATTTCAAACAGGACCCTGGTGCACCTAGCACCGCCCCCCCACTTCTCTTTAGCCAGGGAACTGGTTTCGGGGGCTCTTGTGCGTTCCGTGTGTTGAGGTTACAAATACAGGGGGGATCTGGTCCCAGGGGAGTAGGAACAGACAGGGTGGCTGTGGAAATTTTATTAGGGCCTTTTTCACATTCTTCCATCAGAATCAGAAAAAGCCTTTTCCACTGGGCATAATTTCTTTATGGGCACGGCCTGGCCTGCTTTAAGGCTGAGCCAAATGTCACCTTATCCATCGCTGCCAGCAAGGGGTGAGTGACAGCCATCAGCAGACCCACCTTACCCTCTTAAGTGCCGTCTCACCTTCAGGTTGAACTGTCCCTATGGGAGTCCAAGACCAGACACCTTTACAGTAGTGGAAACCTGGTCTTTCTCCTGCAGAGCAGCTAGTGGTTTCAAACTGCCAACCTCGTGGTTAGCAGCCCAAATCACATATGTGCAGAATCTCCCTCTTCCAGTGGATTCCGTGGTCCCGAGCTTGGATGTAGGACCAAGTGGTTCCGCTGGTCCAGCAGCCTGAGTGGAAGCGGTCCCACCCAGGTGGTGGCATCTGAGTCTGGTGGTTGACCGATGCCCGGGATGCTCCTGGTTTGTCTTCTTCCATTCCTCCGAGTTCTGGTTAAAATGAGAAGGACTGCCTGCCTCTGGCTGGGACAAACACCGCCGCCTCGCACCCTGTGAGAAAGAGGAAACCCAAGAATCAGAGAAGGAGCCCAACGGCCGGACGGACCATCTCCCTGAACCACTGCCTCGTCCACCTCGAGATCAGAAGAACTGGACGGTGCCCAGCTACCCCGACCATACCGTCTGTCCAGGGAGCAAGGGAGAGAAATACAGACCTGCACGTTTGCAAGCACTCAAGACTTACTGCACCCACTGAGCCTGGAGGAATCCCGAGATGGCCACCCTGAGAGCCCCTCAAACCCTAAACTATCCCCCGAAATCACCTTTAAATGAACAACCATTGACCAGGAGAAGTAAAGACTGTCTCCCTTGAGTCCTCCGCTCTTTTAAGCAGTGATTTCTGTCAGAGACCAACTGGACAGCAGTGACTCTACAGCATCATTTGGGCGGCGTGAGACAAAGGTAACGGGGGTGGGAATGCTGGCCCACACTGGAAGCGTGGCCAGTGTTGACATTGCTGCCTGGGAGGTTGGTTGGCTGTGTCCATGTTCAGCAGAAACACAGTCAACGATGGCTTACAAAGGTTTCTGACCAGAGGCCAAGCCAGGGCATGCTCCTGCCAGAAGGAAGGGAGAACTCTGCGTGTGGACAGAAGAGAGAAAAATGGACAAGTGGCCAGGAGACTGCACAGCAGAGTGGGTGAAGATTGGAAGCAAAGGATACAACCCTTGGTCCCTACTCATCCGGAGCACAAGAGAGTGTTCTGGGCGACGCACATCCAGAGAGACCAAGTTGTGGGGTGCATGCAGTTCCGACTCACCACAGAATAAAAGGCCATCAGGGTGTCCTGGGCTGAGAGTCCTGTGGGACCAGTGCTAGGTCTCACACCCGTGGAGCAGTGGGTGCTTAGCAGTCTGAGCCCCGCTAAGCACAAGGTCAGAGGTTCGAATCCACCAGGCGCTCTGGGAAAGAAGGAAGAAGTAGTCTAGGCCTGTAAAGAGGTAAAGTCTGGCAGGTCTGCCCTGCCCCAGAGAGTCACTAGGAGTCCTGAGTGAGATATGAAGACAAGGCCCCCGGGGGAATGCCCACCTCGGGCTCCAGGCTGCCAGGGACCCAGTACTGAGAGAAGACCCCTCACCCAGAGGGTCCCAGCAGTGACTGCCTACGAAGATGAAGAAAGGCCATGGGGAGGGCAAGCTTTTATGCCACAGACCTGGAGCGGTGCCAGGGCC